AGTCTATATTTGGGGTCCATTTGTTTATAAAAAAAAATATATTAATTATTTATATTTATATATATTTTTAAAAAATTTAAATTTTAATTATATAAAAATCAAAATTGATGACCTAATTAATGTGTTAATGATTTATGTATATATGGGTCATCACAACATGCCTCATAAATGTGTATGTCTGTGCATACAAAAGTTATACATGAATTAATATGCAAGTGGGTACATCTGAACTCAACTTTACTCGATAAAATCTTGTCCCAACAAACGATCAATCGTTTTCAGCTTTCATTATCTATGGATTTTTTGTGGAAGCTGCTGCTAGACCTTCAACTACAGTATCTTTTTCTTCTACCCCAGGACTGCGTCTGCATTTTTCTATTACCCCACAGCCTCTCTGATACCGATTTGCTGGTGGACCTAGACATCGGTTCGGACCGTGTTGGTTGCATGGTAACTTGTTGTGCCTAAAAACACCATTCTCAGTCACCGTTGCATCCGCAAAACCAACCATGAGTGAGCACATAATGAGTGCTCCCAGGCCAAGGGCTATCAATTTTGTAGATACAGCCATTGACAAACAAGCTTACCAAAAGGTTGCTTATAGAACAAACAAGCAAATTGGTTAACTTGTTCTGTTGATGTCAAGTTACCAAGGGACACCGATGCTAGAATTTATTGGGGGAGTCTCATGCTATATTAAGACAATTATGGTTTTTTTTTTCCAAATTTAGAGAAAAATAGCCATTGGAAATGAAAATACTTTAAATTTTGAGGTTGAAATCGAAACTGCAAAGCAACACATGCCAGCCATAGAGTCAAAGAGTTGTGTGGAGATTACTGTTTTTCCGCATTAAAAGAGAAAATAGCCACTGAAAATCAATAGTTTAAATTTAAGGTCGAACATAAATGTCGAAAGTTGTATTGATATACATGTCAATCATGTGTATAGCATTGCACAAAGAGTCAACGATTCAAATCGTATTAAACATATTTTCACTCTAGAATTGTATAAAATTAGAAAGTGGCTTACCTTCGATCTACTGGACAGTTAATGTAGGATCTTAAAATATTCAGCACTCAAAATAATTTAATGCACAATAATTAATCAAAGACCAAAAAGAAAATAAAGAGAACAAGTGAAGACAAAGGAAGAAGACGACCAAAAACTTACAGCAAAGCCAAAAAGCAAGTTCTATTCAATCAAGTCTTTATCTTACAAAGCAAACCTATTCTAGTTTATATATGTTAACCCTATTGCCAGATTTAAGAAACCCAAGTAGTCTTTGCCAACAAGACAACTCATTCTAATTAATCAATTTCCTATTTAGGCAAGGATTAATTAACAACTAATAATAATAATAAAATTATAATAGCAAAATAATTGCAATAAATAAATAATTAGGTCAAACTCCAACAGCCTCCTTTGATTCAAATTCTTCAATCTTGATTATTCTCATAATTTGCTTCAACTTCACGAACGCATCTGATTTGAGTGGCATGATAAAAATATCTGTAATATGATCCTTAGATTGATAATATAAAATCTCAATCTCGGCATCAATAACCAAGTCATGAATATAATCACCCTTCACATTAATATGTTTGGTCTTCTCATGAAAAATTGGATTTTTTGGCAATGCAATAGTTGACTTATTACTATAGAAAATCTTTGAAGGAATTTTTTGTTCATGCTACAAAAATCCAAACATATGACGTAACCACACTGCCTGAGTAGCACAACTGTTAGCTGCATTGTACTTTTCTTCCGTTGTAGAAAAAGCAACAACTTGAAGTTCTAATTTAACTTCTGGTTATTTCCTGTGAAAATAAGATCATTCATACATCAACGCACAATAATAGTATGTCCCTTGGAATTAATTTTGACATATAAAGTGTGTTTATAGGGACATCTCTAAAAATTATTCTCCACAAAATAAGAATCAATCTAGCTGTGTACCAAGCTCTAAGAGCTTGTTTACACCCATACAAAGCCATTTTCAACATGTGGACTTTGTTTACCTCCCTTTTATTTACATAACTAGCAGGTTGTTCAACATAAACTTCCTCCTCAATGACACTGTTCAAAAAATTGATTTAACGTCTACTTGAAATATCTTCTAAAAATTATTGGCAGCTAAAGAAATAACCATACGAACAATACCAAGCCTAGCAACAGGAGCAAAAACCGCAAGATAATCAATACTTGACTTTTATTTGTAACCCTTGGCTACTAACCTTGCTTTGAAGCGATTCACATCTCTGTTTGGCTTCTATTTTATCTTGTATACCCATTTAATTCTATTGACCTTCTTTTCCTTAGGAAGAAATTTGAAATCATATTTCGAGAGCTATTAAAAATAATTTATACATACATGCAATTATTTTTTTATTTTATCAAAAACAAGCTAAAAAGTCACTTCAAACAGACTTTTTCAACTTTTTATAGAATACTCCAAACGGTTTTGGATAATTTTTTTAATTCTGATTTTTTTTACAAAACCTTTCAAGCCGCAGCTTTTCAGCAAAAAAAACCACTTCAAACAGGCACATTAATTACAATAAAAATTTGTCAAAAAAATTCTATTTATTATACTATGTGTTTCAAATATATGTTTAATGTTGCTGATCACAACATCTTATAAACATGAAGGAATTTATTTTTCACAGGAGAACTAAACCTGAACTAGTTTATTTCACCCTCAGTCACCATTTTATATCAATGGGACATATTCTGGAGGTGGTTCATTTGGAATCCTCCCAAACTGACCTTCTTCCTCTTCATATTCGTCCTTGGGGTTGCCTCGACAACATTCAGTAGCCTTGCAACCTCTATTATTACGATTTGATGGACATGGCAAGCAAGCTTCAGGGTGCTCGTTGTCGTAGGGAAAACCATGTCCTGTGCCTTCTCGAAGAGCACCATAGTTGATAAACTCAACATCTGCTACTTCAATCAATGGTGAGCACACCATTATAATGCCGAGGCATAGAAGGATCGACCCTCGTAAGACAGGCATCGTTAAACAAATAAGCATTTATTGTTGATATATATCTAGTATATTCCTTCAACAAGAAACAAGAATCAGGCTAAAGGGAGCTTTAAAATATGTTTTGCATGGTAAGAGAAAGAATTTATTCTAAAATTTTTCTTGTTCTTCTTGTAGAAAAGTTCAATGTACGTACTTCCCTTTCTGAACATATTATTAAGACTAAGAAACACGAGGAAAAATTAATGGCATATTGGTTGTCAATCGAGCTAAGAAAAAGATTCAAAGATTGAAAATGCCTGAAATACTAGGTCGACTAAAGGCGATGAAATAGAGGGAAGGTTGAGATTTATCTTGGAATAGATGATCAATAAGTTTACCTGTGAGGCCTTCAAGGTTCTGGGTATAACACAAGCATGTTCCACCATTTGATGGAAGCATATTAACCATCGTAATTGAATAAAAGTATTTAATAACTTTAAATGGAAAATAATCAAATTTTGTAACATCAAGCACTTCTATGAACTTTGTGCATTTATTTTTATATTAATGTTGTTGCTTGAAACCTATAAGGGTTATGTCCCAAATTCAATTCATGGGAAATAGACCGTTGAGTTGCTTCTAGCGAATTGGTGGGGTTGAAGTCCGACTATGGCTCAAGTCGTCTTTAGGAAGCGCTTACAAGTTCTATCGCTCCAGACCTCTCTGGAGGGTTTCCCTCACAGGTAAAAACTGATATGGTTACGTACTCTAAGAAATTCCATATTTAGTCACCCTTTATAACATTTTTAATTAGCAGAAAAAAAAATTCAATTGATCATGAGATTCAATTGAAGAATAGGAGAAACATTTTTACGAAGTTGGCAGTAACTGTCCATCGTGAACAAGGTACGCAAGCAGTAACTATTCATTGTGCCTCCACAAGCTCCAACCTACTTTCAGCCTACTACAACCTACTTTCAGCATCAAGAAAAATTATAACACATTTATTGTTGAGAGCTTTGGGGGTGAGTACATTTGACATGGGCTGGTCTCAATGCACTGGGGTTGAAAGCACGTACAATTTCTTAAGCATCTTCGCCTTCATGTCACTCATGCTCGACGCATACAATCAACTCAAGGACCACCTAATTTGCAGATTAGATATCAACACCATACTTGAACCCACCAGATGTGGGGTAAGGATGCATAGATCTCACCCTCCCTGCACCCGACAGTGGAGGAAACCTCATGGACTGGGTCAGCCTTTTTACCTAAACCCATCAGACCCAAAGATTTTCTTCATGGTTTCGTCTGTCGTCTTGAAAGTAGTTCACAGAAGCTCATCAGAACAATCTAAACAGTGAAAATTATGATTAATCAATGAAAGAAAGTCCTGCACCAAACTTCAGTAAGGGAAGTTTTCTATACAAATATTTGGACATGATGAACAGGGAGAGAATAGAAAAAAAAATAACGAGAAAGAAGAATTTAACTCCCACAGCAATTTTGCAATACACTTTGTTACAAAACTGGAACCCGAATAAGTTGTCTTGAGACGAAATAATGATAATAGGTCAGTCATCATTATGTCCTTACAGAGTATAAGACAATGGATGCTGCAATCATGCTCGGTGTGTAATCAGGGTAAATTGAAGTAAAAGGCTGCCGTATTGAGTGGTGACAAATTCTTTTCGGACATAGTAATCCAATAACCTTTTCAGCAGCAGTTATCTGTTCTACTTGGAGGCTTTTGTTGCGTATTAGGTCCCTGCAATGTCATTAGCTTTTAGATATATAGTGCAAAGAGCTCACTTTTGAATATCACATATAGCAGACCAATTGAAACTTGGAACATCATTTAAGCAAACTATTGAACACCAATCTTTTTACCATTTCTATTTACAGCTTCCATGGAGATCAAATAATAAAGAGGTTCATAAACCCTCGAAAAAGAAAAAAAGGAGAGGAGGGGGGGGGGGGGGTGTTGCAGATATCCCTATATTGACACATATACCAAATCCTCCCTAAAGCCAGTTTCTTTTTACTTCAAAAAGAATTGAGTTGATTATTAATTGCAAACGCATAGCTACTTATTTTTATTGTAGGTATTGTCATGCAAATAATAAACTGAACTATCAGAGAACAATATCTTGTCTAATTTTAAATTACAAGCACGGGCTCTTACACAAGCAATGGGGCCAACTTCGATGGGGTACAAGCTTGAAAAAGCGATTCAGGGATTATAGCTGAATCCAGAAGAATATTGGGGAGGGAGATATATGATATTCTAGCTTTGCGCCTTATAAACCATTCAGTCAGGAAATTGGCCCGATAGGCAACAACACAAGGTTACTGTGCAAGCTGCAACTCAATAGCTGCTGTGCCAGATGTACACAATGCTACATTGCTAGCCTGCATACCATTGGAACAAAATTTGGTCAGGTCATGAATCTCAGCAAGAATCACACAAAATTCCATGACCATGGAGAATGTTTGTGGTGCAAGGTAGCAGATGCCATCAGGCTTTCGTCAGACAAGTTCTAAGTGCATCCAGGTCTATGCTCTGTTATCTGCCTCAGTTTTGCAGAGCAAACAATTGACAACTAGGATTAATCAAAATAAAAGGTCCCAAGAGAGGTATCAATATCCTCCATTGTACATAAAAATATTCACAACAAATGGTCCTTCAGACCATAAATCAGTGTATATATTAAATACATCCAAGTGCAATGGTTCTTTGTCACTGACCTAATGAAGCAATGTTGATCATTTCAACTTCAAAAGATTAATATATGTATGATCTCATCAGATTGCGGCCAACATCCAGTTTGTTATAGAGGGTTGCCTTAACAACAACCGGCTAACTATAAATCATCAGAACATATTTCCTTTCTTATTTATTACTTTGTTTTCTATGGAAATGTGCTCCAAACATAAACAGGGGTAAACGCACTGAGAGTGTTCAGCCAAATTTGTCACAAAGTGCCCCCAATAGTGGTACATTAGCCATGAAAAAATGAGAATGCGGCCTTACACTATATGCATCATACTTCAGCTGTGGAGATCCTCCAGGAATCAATACTACAGATACAGGCCACTCAAAAACAGCTTTGCTGACATATTCTTCCACGTGCCGATTAGGTGCCACATGAACTACCGTTGTCAACTCTGAAAATGAGTCTTTCAATAGTTCCATAGTGTCTGAGAAAATGGGAATCATTCGCTCTACCTCCTGTAATCTGCTTCCAGGAAGCAATGTAATGATTGTGGATTCTTCAAGAAAAAAGTGTGAAAATTGTTATTCGGAGTAAAATCCAACATCCTGTCAAAAAATGTTAGATTCCAAGTACATGGTGAAGCAGGAGGGAGAAATAAAGTTGCCTGTATTCATATATTGAAGTATTGAACTATATTAAGTCACATTACCTGAAGATTTCCCATGTTTACTTTGAAATTCCCCACCATTTCCTTTAACTATCCATCCATTTTCTGTAGCGTCCATTTCCTGAGTGTGAAATCCCTCAAGGAGGTGAGATTTCAACAATTAGATGCAGCATCAATTTGAAAGCACCAACACCACTATAAACTAGAAATCTATTAGGACGACATAGTGAGGTTGGGAAAAAAAAAACAAGTTTAGAACCTATATCTGTACCGACTAACTCCCAAACGTCTTCCAGCATGGGGTGACCCACAAAGGTTGCAGCTAGTCCATGCACTTTGCAAACTTCCTCCTCAAATGGAAGGATACAGAACACATGGTCTATGAACTCAGATAGCGCTTTGAGTCTTTTTTCAGCCCCTTTCCAGGCCCAGAATGATGGTGCAACATAATGGAAGTGTGGAGGAAGGCTAACCAATGCTTGCTGATCATATCTAGCTGCAAAGAGCATTCCCCCATTTTCTTAAGACATACTATTTTTAGGACAAGTGCAGAGCATCATAGAATCTCAGAAGAAGTAGGTGATGTATTACCCCTTAACTGCTTTAGGAAACGGAATGAAAAACCCTTGGAATCCACTGTCACAATAACATGAGGCTTAAAGAGAAGTGCAGCCTCCATTGTCTGTTTCAAATTAACCTGTCATTGAAAGGGCCAATGCAAGAACAAGGTCCAGATCAGACACATTAATTCGTAAATACTCCATATCTTTAAGTAAAAGATAAAATTTTGGCTAAAATGTAACGAATAGGGAGGATAATCACAATGATCTTGATAGGTGGAAGAGCACGGCACATTTCATTGCTAACTGCTCACTCTCAACTTATTCAGATGCGGCAACAACTCCCAGATCCCCATTACTGAAATATCCTCCATGGGGAACAGAGATTTCAATCCTTGGTTGGACATCATCAACCTGAACATACGCAGAAAGAAACATTACCAATGGGAAATACAAAAATAAAATGACAAAAATTGCAGAAAGTATTTGTTAATCAAAACTTTTTCTCCATTCTTTTTTTTATCTCTCTTTCTTGGTAAGTAAATTTGAACCCAAAATTTTTACAAAAGCCCCACGATTGAACAAAAACAAGTGAACATGTAATACTATAAATAAAAACATCATTCCATGGAGTATGTGCTAAGTTTGGTAGCCAAGAAACGGTGGTGAAAAATAAATAAATTAAAATTTAGGAGCTTATAGTATTCAGAAAAGGCATGCTAAACAAGATAGAGCCTCCATGTAGCAACTAGCTTGATATAACCACTTGGGTTAGCTTTTTCTTGAAACTGATTTGGCTTAAGTCATTCGGCTTAGTCGGATCTCATCAAAATAAAAGAAACTGGTAGTGGCATCAAGAACAAGCCGTCCCCAGAAATGTTGGGACAAAACATTGATGGGTTGACTACCAATTGACAGAAACAACACCAAAAGAACGAAAGTAACAAGAATTTTAGTCAAATTAAACACATCATAAGAAGAATGTTAAGGAAACAACAACCAAAAACTGTTAACTGGCCTATTTCCAAAGCTCATTTTAGTACTCCCTCTCACAAACGACCCTATTGGGCTACCACCGGGTTATGTATACTACCTTATGAAATGACACCATTGTTCCAACAAAGGAATGGACCTTAAAGCTCTAATATAATGTACAATCGGTTGTTCTAAAAGGCTTCAAGCTAATTGAGAACAAAATGATTCATGATTTACCCACTTCAACTAAAAAAAATACTATCCACATAAATTTTTTTTCCTTTTTTCGGAATGTACCCACATAAAAATTAGCTTGCTGATAAACTTAAAAGTGCACATTTTCGTCAAAAACTTGCATATCCTTCATTTTTAAAGCATACCTTCTATGCACAAAGGCGTTGAATTGATGGGTACTTTAGTAGAATTGATAGGAAGAAAATAACGTTACCCTCCAACACCGGCGAAGCGTATAGGCATCGGAGATAGCTTCTTCAGGGAAGCCATGAGGCGAGATCCGATATTGTCTCCAGAAACCTCACCGGCAACTATAAAAACCCTCAATTCACCATCTTTAGAGGCCATATCTATAACAGGTTGCCTAGAAACAGAGAAAGATCTTCTCCAATTCGCCAAGAAGCCCCCATCACTCTTAGTATTCAAATTCCGAACTGTTCTAACCATCATTTTCAAAATTTGCCGAGCAACAGAAGGACAAGTACCTAAAACTTAGCAGTGGATGTCGGGGTTTTCGGGGATTAAGATCGAACTCGTGCGGGGCGGGAGGGACAAGGGTTTCTTATTTTCTGTTTGGGTAAATTACACCGACACCCCCCTAGCTCTTTCTAATACTTTTCTGTGTTTTTTTTTTTGGGAAGGGGGGGTGTTGATCGTACAACATCCAATAATTCACATCTATTTCTTTCTTATTATCTCTCTATTTACTTTAATTTAAACAAAAAACAAAATTAAAAAATAAATAAATAAATTACTATTTAAAATATAAAAATGTTGTGCGACCAATATTTAATTTTTAGTATTACAGAGTTTATTCATATACGAGGTTATTCCTAATCAAATAATAAATCATCACATGAGTTGGTAAACCTCGCGCACGTAAGTGTGGTAATTATTTGATTACAAAAAATGCGGTAATTATTAAAATTAGGTGAGTTTTATTGTACATGTTTAATACTTATTAGTTGGTGCACACATGCGTTACATGTGAACAATTTTGATTTATAATTTTTAATTCTACATTAAGTTATCTTTGTCTATTTTTATGACTTTATTGGGCCATAAGTGGAAAATTAGAGTCTTGTTACTACAATAAACTAATAAGTGAATACAAAAATATAAGAAAGGTTAGAGCATTGCTTTGAGATGGGGAGGGAGGCGACAAAATAAAGCTTGAATAACTCAAGAATAAGTGAATGACGGATAAAACTGTAATGTCCAAATTTATTTAATAAATCTTGTATCGAATGATCCTCCAAACAAAAAGAGTGATGGAGTCCGACTCAAGCGAGTGAGTGAAAGGCGTGACAAGAGAGAGAGTTCGATTCGCGAACGATCAGCAAGTGAAGGACCGATCCTTTTGCCCCAATACTGTTGTGAGACTGGTACTTCACGGGTCACGAGCAACAAAAAACAAAGCATAGCATAGCATTAAAAAATAATTTGATTTGCATAACATTGCGCGTGAATGATTACACAATTGATTGATTTGATATGCTTTGTCTGTCAAAACTAAGCCAACGTTGACATTGGTGCATACAACAAAAAACTCAATTTTTCATTGCCATCCATACACAAAATTATAATATTTAAGGAATTGAAAATCAACACTGCAAAGGAAACAATTGTTGGCTTTATGAACTAACATTATCAAAGTAGAATATAAATATTTACTTCAGATAGTTCGCTTTGAAAAACAAAGGAGCTTGGATTCTAGGTTGAGAATTTGTTTAGGTAGATGCATTAACTGTCCTGTGATTCTCTAATGCATTAACTGTCCTATGAGCTTGGATTCTAGTTTGAGAATTGGTTGGTTGGTTGTTTTGTGGAGTTAATAAATCCCTCATAAATTATGCATTAAAAAATAGTTTGTCCACTTGCAGTCATACCTAATGACACTTGGGGCACTGATTAATAGATTATCAATTGCTTTGATTAATTCACTAAATATATTTGATTCTACTATCAGTTTAAATACTTCCCTTACAAAAAATAAAATGCAAAACCTGAGATTCTGATCATTTTAATTCAATGAAAGGACAAAAGATGCAAATGCACTGGTCCAAAATAAAACAATAGGCTTGCATTTTATGTATGATAATTGTGATTGGAACTTTTTCAAACCAAAACATTTTGTAGCCATGCCAACCTTAAACAAATAGTAATTATGATTAACGATAATCAACAAAGGTTAGAATCACCCAGCTGAATTATGTGATCTATTTCTATTTGGCACTGGAAGGGCTGATGTGGTGCAGGGGCATGAACACCACTAGCTCAAACCTCTGTCAAATTAGCCTTCTCATTTATGTTTGGTGTTGTTCCTTCCCACAGCTTTGTCAGCTCCTTTCTCATCCAAGATATGACGATTGCAGGTCCCAAAGTAGAGGGTACCTATATTCAATGGATAATGAACAGAAAAATCAGGGGCAAAGATGGTGGAATGGTGCTAGACCTAAACAAAAATAATGACAAGAATTAAGTAAAAGAAAATGATTACATTCAAATCAAAGAAATGCCTTTCACATTTATAGCATGCTTCAAAATCAATGACCCGATTTCTCAGGTTCCCAAGCATGCCCCCATTTTCCTAACGAGTACATAGATGAATTAGAAGAGATCTATGCAACGATTTTTAATTCCACCTAAAATTCCAAAAATGTGGAAGCAACAAGTCTCGAGAATTTTATTTTTAAATGGCAGAATCAGAAGTCAATAACTCCTTTTTTTTCTTTCTGAAAAAAACACTCTTTCTCACTCTCACAAGACTATGCACACGAAATGAAGATAGATCTGGACTGAAATGACGAGTAAGAATTAATGCAGATTCATACTGGAGATAACAATATTACAATTTAATTTCATCATACCAGATATAAAAGTGTTGGTTGAGGCGTGAGTGTCAAAATGCCAGCTCCTAAAGCAGTTACCAGTCCAATTGCATATCCAGAAGGAGCATACCAAATGTATTTGTACCCGTTAGAAGAAGGAATATCCAATAATTCAAAGAATCCTTGCTCCTTCTGTGATCAAAAGAGAGAACTAATGCCAGAAGCATAGAAGGAATGGCCTGCATAACCAACACAATACAATTACAAAAGCTAAGAAGTTTGTCATCAGCTTCATCAATTGAGCAGAACTCACACAATGAGCACAAGAATCAAACGGTTATGTCCTCAGCCAAATTCACATAGATTACCTGATACATAATATATATACCAAGTACTGACTAATAAACCAATTTCATCTCTATTCAACTCAAGAATGCATTTGTGTCCATTATCTGCAATTGGCTTCTAAATCCTGTTGTCATTGTACACTATCTTGGGTTCATGTTTTGAATATAAGAGTGTTTAGGCAGCACTAAACAGCTAAAAATTAAGAATCTGCATGTGAAGCAAGCCAAATACGTGCAGAAGAAATCAGTTGTTCTATACCGGAGAATACAAGTATACAACTCACCAGCAATCAATATGCAGTAAGGTCCCCAAAAGCATGTACTACACTTGTTAGATGGTAAAAAGATAGAGTGAAAATATATGTGGTCCAAATAAACTAAAAACAACATATCTAGTATGAATAAAAATATTATAGTTGCAATTATTGTTGTTCTGTTCAAAGCATGCAAGATCAGTGGATCAAGTTTTGATCTAACATAGCATATACACTGCTAGTTTTGTTAGGCTAGTTAAGAGTCATACAAAGGACAAAAAAAAAATATTCAACTTCAAAAAAAAAACTTGGACACATATTCACAAAATATAAGTATATTTTAGGTAAATTTTATAGTAGTATAGATATAGATTAATGGCTAAGACCATTTAGCAATCAATTGTTTCATGTGATAGTTGGAGCATGCTTTGCCTTCATCCATTGGGTCTATATTCCAAGAGGGACCCCATAAACCACCAAAATCAGCTTTCTCACTATTCATTAGTACCCATCATGAGTTCCAAAAGGCCCCAAAAATATTTCATTTTCATTCCTTTGCCATAATCCACACATATTCCCTCTTACCATTAAAGGAGTTGATACCGAGAATTTCCAACAAGACTTCCCGAAAATTTCCAACAGCCAAACACTTCTAAGTTCTGAAGCAGCCCACTGTCAAGCACTTTTCGCCCATAAAACCTGCAGGAAAACTTGCCTGTCACTGAAATTTCAGTCTTTTTAAGTTTCTAAAAGTTGGTGGAAACTAAGGTCCAATCGTTTAATATGAATTCACCTGACTTAATTTAACAGGGAAAAACTTGCTTCCAGATATTCATAATTGCGATTAATCAAAATTTAACTCTAAGTTTCCTTCCACAAAAAAAAAAAATCATGAATCCATAGCCTCAAAAAATTAATACAAGTATTGATATTTTAAAAAAAATTCTTTATTTTCCTTCCAAATATTCGTACTTATGAAACAATAAGCTTTGTCAATATTCCAAATCACATGTCAAAAGAATCTTGCATCCTAACTTAAATCCTACTATGAGTATAATACTTTTTTTTTTCTTTTCAAAGGGGTGCAACACGAAGACTTCCCAGTGAGTCACCCATCCTAGTACCACTCTCGTCCAAACACGCTTAACTGCGGAGTTCTGATAGGATCCAGTTCATTAGTGTTGGTATGATCGCACCCACTATGAGTATAATACACTACTGTTAATCTACTAAAAAAATATACCCCAATGTCTACATATGTAGCTTTGGTGCAGTATTTTAAGAAACCGTGTATTTAAAATTCAAGGAGTGCTATTTCTTTGTATTCAAGCTCATACCAACATTTTCGTGTATAGAGTCTTCAATATTCCTTCCTAATCATCTAATTCTAGGCCGTAATCCTACAAGCATTTCAATATTTCAAGGCCCACCATCAGCATAACAATGGGCAACAAAAATATTGTATCTTCTAGTGCTGGCTGAAATTATCATCTAGCCAATTGAATATTATTTCATAAGCTATTTAAAAGGTCCTACAGTCTGAGAATGGTCAGATAAAGAATAACACAGGACACAAATATTGCTTCACCAGTTTAAACTCTTGTTTACTTATTTGTTAATATATTTTTGTTCAGACTAATTTACTACCATAGTCTAAGATTTTAGTCTCGACTCCAATATTGAATCAGAGAGAGAGAGAGAGAGAGAGAGAGAGTCCAACTACAAAAACCAACGTTCTTTGTTTGATACATTGCCTGAATGTTCTATATATTTTCTTTTTAAAACATCACTCTTTCACCCTTTTTTTTGTTTTTTTTTTATAGGAAGCACAATTTTACTAAGAAATAAAGGATAGCCCACTCATCCCAACGTTGTCAAAGAATTGGGGGTAGTAAACAGAGAAGTCAGCTTCAGACCATTTGTTCTTTTTACAAGATGCTAAATTTTATTAACATTGGTTTGATGGGCAATAAAAAGGAATCAAGTGTAGCAACCAAAGAATACACCTCCACATAATC